GCCAGGTGTGCTTGTACCTTGGCACATTGCTGGTATTTAAATGGCGCATGAATGGCACTTTATAAAAATCATAATAAATTAATAAAAAATAAATCAGACAGTGATATCCAGCTCTGCTCTGACTGGTCCGGTCTAAAAGCAGATTGACCCTGTTATGCAGACTTCCAGCAGAGACAGAGAGAAAGAGCTCAAGTGGACGAGTGAGATTGTGAGTGTGTGAGTATGGACTTAAATGTTGACATGATATAAAAATTTTCTCTGATCATGAAGCCTTATGTTGCTCTGCAACTCTGTGGTTTATGTGAAGTGTCTGAACTCCACTGCAGACATGAGTCTGTTAAAATACAGACATATGCCGTCTCCTCTATGAAACGTCTGGATCCTCAATGCGCTGTATTATTACAAACTATGATAAAATGATCTTGGGTCACATCTCTGTCTGTCTTTATTGAGTGTTTTCTTTAACAATTTACTGTAATGATTAGAGAGGCTTCTGTGAGAGCATCCTGATCCTGATAAGGATTTTAGAGTTAAAAAATGAAAGGAACTGATTGCTTTGTCCGGTGGAGATGTCTGCTGGCCGGTTAACAGGGGGTTGAAGGAGATGGTTGACTGTAGAGAATTTTGAGTTGATGATGTCAGAATCATAGACTGTATATAAAAATGGATGCAGTGTCCGTGACGTAACCCGTTGGTTTCTGAAGAGCCGTGTCCTGCCCAGCAGCCTGGTATAGAGTATGATGAGCTAGATACCATATTGTGCCAGACAGATTTTACTTTAACAAGAGAGTATTAATATACTCCTTTGTCTGTATTATTATTTATTTAATTATGTAATGATTTGTCACTCCAGACATGGGGATGGGGGGGCACAAACATCGCACAAACGGACAGCACAGACAACACCTGCAAGAGAACGGGGTTAGGGGGTGGGGACAACAGGAAATAGAGGGAAACACCAATTGCAGTTTATTGCAGCCGAACAGCAGCAATAAACAGCTGACTTAGGAAGACAACTAAGAGAGAAATGAAAACAAGAAACAGTCAAGCACAATAAATAAGCAACACAGCACAGCCACGAGAGCTGGAATAATAACAATTAATTTAATAAGTAAGAAAGAAAGAAAGAAAAGCATCAGGAATAATTCTACCAGGGGCAACCTAAATTTGTTTGTGTGTGTGTGTGTGTGTGTGCGTACATGTGTGTGCGCATAAGCCTGTTAGATAATGTAGTTGTTAGTAAGAGTGGGATGCCACAACCGTGCGGCACCGACCCCTGCAACAGGCAGGCAAGAACCCCAGTAGCCAACAGGGGTGAGAGAAATGCACCGCGACGCGAACGTGGAAGACCCCGACCCAACCAACAGAAACCAAAAAAACGACCATCCAAATGCCAATCGACAACGCAATGCTGACAAAATGCAAAAGGCGGAACCCGCGGAAGAGCAGCGCCCGGACCGGCCGCGGCGCGCACACAACATAGACCAGTGCTCCCCCCCGCGCAGCACCCCACCGAGTGAACAACCAAATCACCAAAACGCCCCCGCAGTCATCAACATCGATGCACAAATGATGAGCCCAACCCACACACTGCGTAAGCACGGCGACACCCAATGCCCGGCAGCCCCCCATGTATCCCGCACGAGGTTGAGCGAACGAGAGTGTCACACTCTGCCTGTCAGCCATACCTTTTTTTTGTTTTTAACCGTTTTTAACCCTTTTACATAACGTTTAAAGATGGTCTCCCTTGTTCCATTTACTCCCACTTATGTGACATAATAGTGCTGTCAACATTAAAACACAGAGGAGCATCTCAAAAATTTTTAATACTGTGGAAAAGTTCATTGTGAGCACCAGAACCAGACAGAGATTACAGGTTCAGAAACCTTTGCAGGTGTTTTGAGTTAATTAGCTGATTAGAGAGCTCTTAATGTATTTATTCTAAAATTTTTATACATTTTGAGACACTGGAGTTTTGATTTCTATGAGCTGTAAACCGTAATCATCAAGATGAAAACTAAAAGGGGTTGAAATACTTAATTTTGTGTAAAATATATAATATATATATCAAAGATTCACTTTTTGAATTAAATTACGTTAGAAAACGAACTTCTCCAAAATATTCTATTTTATAAAGACTCATCTGTATCGTTTACTTTATATTTTTTATCACCAGAAGCATTTAATACACATTTTCCTCCCAGAGTCACACTGTGGATCAGATGTCCCACCTGATGCCAGAACAGAGAGCTAAAGGGACCTGGGAAGCCTTATTGTGCTGTTAGCGTGGACTGATGTGGACAGGCGTTCTCTCCTTCTGTTTTCTTTGAGTTTTAAATATTGTCCATGTTTGTATCACAGATACATTTAAAAAAGATATGGTTTAATGGTTCACTTGTAATACATTCTATGTATATTAGCGCTCCCTGTCTTTACTACGTACTGAAAAGCTAATTGTATACCACAGTTAAAACATGAAACATTAAAGCATTAAAACTCTTGCTAAAGTCTAAGTTGAAAAGTGAAAATACTCCCAACGTGTTTCACATGAAATGTTGAAAAGTAATTATGCAGTGTATTTCTGTGTGTGCAGGAGTATTTTTACTTTCTACATTATACTTATAAATAAGGAGCCATACACCCAGTAGCCTGAAGTTTGTGAAGAGTGCCTTGTTTGCTGCTCTGATATAAGTCTAGTTTAAACAGAATAATGTGGGCACATCCAAACCATCCTGTGGGTAAGTGCTGAAACAAAGAATGATCTGCACAGAGTAATTATGAATCCCACTAGGTGGTATTTAATGTGACCTTGCAAACTGAGGTCTCAGAGCTGATCGAATGCACTTGTAGTAAGTAGGTGCATCTATACAATGTAAGCCACACAAAACTTTCTAAGAGGTCGCAGTAAATTACACCACCTGCAGGGCTTCAAAACTATTCAGTGTGCAGATAATTCTTAGTTTTTCACTACAGAGTAACTTCTCAGTCAATGTCACATTTGTCTCTTAAAGAAATGTCAAAATAAAACAGTATATAACATCAACCTTTCATTTTTTACTTTCCATTTTAATATTTTCATTTACTGCTGTTAACTATAATATATTGTTGAGTTTAGATAATACTATTTACCATTAACATAGGAAACTGATGATGAATGAAGAATGTAAATTTATTTTAAGTATAATTAGTCTGATCGATTTTATAACAAAGTATTCCTAATACGTAAGCAATAGTTTAACAAATTAAACTCTTGTCTTGCATTCATGAAAACATCAATATTAAAAGGTCACAAATATAAAGGTAGTTTTGTATAAATTGAAATAATGTGTTGTAAGAGTTATTATAATGATAAAATCTGTTGATAAGAACCCAGTGTCATAATTTCACATCAGTAGTGTTCAGGTGTGAGTAAAAAGAAAGATCTGGAAGCTGGAGCTGTTCTCTCCTGTAGAGCTGGACACAACAAATCACATCTGCATCTGCAAATTCTAATCCAAACAAACTCAGAGGCGGCTCTCACACACCTAATTTCTCACTTTAACTAAACCATTGCCCTAGCAGCTACCTGTCTACAGGCATGACGCTCATTATATGCTGACAAAAACGTGGCATCCACCTCTTAAGCTCCTTATCAGAAACGTCACTGATCAAACTCAGACATCACCTCAGATTGTTTGCTGAATCTCAAGGAATGCTACATCTAGGTGTAATAACTTATTGATGACTCTAAACGTCCTTCAATATGTACTTTGAGTCAATCATCCCCACTGATGAACCCCACAAAGAATAGTATATCATTTTTGAACAGTACACTTGGAGGTGCACGGCTCTCCTCGTCGAGCAGGCAGAACTCTGCAGCCGCTCCCCCCTCGGCTCTCTGCCTTTAAACCCTTCGTGTCCCTCCGGTTCAGGTGCAGCCACTTAAAATAGTATCTGACTAGTATCTAACTGACTCCATAACAATACGTAGCAAAATCAAGCTATATGCCAACAGCGATACCCGTTAAATATTGTTAACAACACATAAATAAAATACAGGAATTTCACTCACCAACTGGAGCAGGGACTTCCTGGAGGTTCTCTCTCCAATAAACCATGAGTCTCTGCATGAGTCCGGATGAAAGAAATGTCCTAAAGGATTGTAGCTGAGTGAGGCGGTTTATTTAACAGAAACAGTTACTTACAGAAATGTCCAAATGAAAGGCAAGGTAATCCAGACACAGGGGTAAAGTCCAACTAATGCAGAGTAATCCAAGAACAAAAGAACAATCCGGAAATCCGGAAAACAAAGCTAAACAAGAACACCACACACTACTACTTACACAAGAAAATATGAAACCAGATTCAACAGAGAACAAGAAACCAATTATCAACTAACCAAACCTAAACAAGAACACAGAGGCAAAGAGTAAAACAGGAATGGACAAAATATCAGAAACTTACCAAAAGTATGACAGAAAGGTGCTATATTAAATAAACTTTACTTAGTACTTACTTACTCTTCTTCAGTATGTGCCAGACCAAGTAGTATTGCATAGCCAGGCCATCTCCACACTTGGTTTTAGCTCTGTGCCAGCACTGGAGAAAGGTCTGGCTGAACTAATTATCATTCTAGTATAAGGACAAAAAGGTAGGTAGGTTGTAAACCCACTGAGAGAAAGGTGGAGGAAAAAGCATTCAATATATTTGGCATAGGCGTATTTGATTGGTCTCTAAATGTCAGGTTAGAAAATTACTCCCAATCAATATTTAACCTTGAACAACCTTCTGTTCATTTTATCCTCTGGCAAACTGCCATATACTTTAGCATTGAGATAAACGGGATGATTATCATGATTGATTGAAATTCTGATTAGGTGTGACAATAAATAGCGTAGCTGTGTGATTCAAATGATTTTCTTTCTTTTCTTCCTTCCATCCTCGGTTCCATCTGTATCTGCCTTACATCCATCTTCTCCCTTTCTCCACATCATCCATATTTCTCTCCCCTCTCTCCCCAGGATTCTGACCTATTGTTACCTGCTGTCCTTCAATGCCTGGCTGCTGCTGGCCCCCATCATGCTGTGTTACGACTGGCAGGTGGGAAGCATACCCTTGGTGGAATCGCTGGGCGACGTGCGCAACGTGGCCACCGTGCTGCTGGCTGTGGTGATGGTCGCTCTCTGCCTGCGCTGCATCTTCTCACTGCAGGTAAAATCAATAAAGTAGCTGCAAAGCGCCTAAGACATTTCCCATGAAGTCTGTTAACCTGATGCTTGTCTTTCCTTATTACATCATATATCTGCATCATTTGAAGAGAAGTTAAGATGTGTAAGGGCTGGTAACATTCTAGATAAGGTTCAGCAACAAGGTTCAAACAAAGCCCAATGGTTATATCAAGAAAGTTATAGTGACAGTTAAAGGTTTCTGAAATGTAGCAATTAGCAATAAATATAAAGCAGTGAATATTGTTCTTTAATTGCAAATCATGACTCTACAAATCTATTTCACTCGCATATACCCCTAAAAATATGTGCGAAACGGAAAAATGGTTTATGAGCACAGTGTGCGAGTGAAGACCTAACATTAGCTGAAGCGGTAAGACAGAAAACAACATGGATATGCTAAGCCAGGTTTGGACTTGGCTGGCATTTACCTATATCTGGTGCCTTTTGTTGAAACATCTTCAATTTTTCACTTTTTGTGAATTGACCAATCATGCCCTGGATGGGGCGGGACATTAAAAAATGTTTGATGTGCTAGAGCAAACTTTCAAAATGTTGAAGTCATTGTTCTGCATAGTATTTAGCATTAATTAGGCTATGTTCGGACTGCAGGCCAATGTAACCCAAATCAGATTTTTTTGTTCATATGTGACTCAGATCTGATCTTTTCATAACTGTGTGAGGAGGCCAAGTCATACGGAATCTGATCTTTTCCAGTTCGGAATTGGGCCACTTCTGTATGTGGTCCACATCCGATTCAGATCAGATCTTTTTAAATTCCGACCTGAGTGTCCAGACTCAGGTCAGAATTTATGCGACTTTGACGTCACTCTAGAGCAGCTGTTGTCACAGTTCTGCTGTAGATGGAGCCGTGGTGAATGAAAAAGCTCCACAAGTGCCATAATTAAACATGTGGCTCTCTTTCTTCTTTACCTCGCTATCATCTGCTCACAAATTCCCTTTCTTCCACCTGAAATCCACCGGACCGGGAGCTCTCTTCTGAGTTATGTGCATGTTACATGTCCGTGAGTTGGGAAGTTGCGTTGTAGCTACAGCGCCAGAAACCGTAAGGACACATAGTTGTGAACACTTGTCATTATTCGCAAGAAATGTGACCCAGGAGAGGACAATGAAAAACTTGAGTCTCCGGTGAAAATTGGGAGGGTTAGCTAGTATGAGCTAACCTCTGTGGCTCCTTGTTTACTTCTGTACAACAGCGTGCCGCGTGTGACGTCGTGTTATTCTTTTGCGCATGCGGGTCACTTTCAGGCCGCTGACAATTTACACTGGATTCTGATATGGGCCACCTTTGAGCAATAATGTGAACAAACAAAAAAATAGGATTTGGGAAACTAATCAGAATTGAGCATTAAGGCCTGCAGTCTGAACGTAGCCTTAGAGACTCAAAACAAAAAAGACCATTTTTCTGCACAAGGATTTAATGAATGAGAACAATCAACACAAATTAAACTGCTGTAATTGAATTAATTATACTAGTGGTACGCTATATACTAGACTATTATATGAAATTTTAATGAATATTGTAATACAGTAATAAAATGTATATGTTAATATTATACTAAAAGCATACTATTATATTAACATTATACTTATATATATATATATATACACACTAATTTATATTTATACTAGTTACTCCTCCAGCTTGTGGATAGTGCATGTGCAGTGGACAGATTTAGATTTAGCCTGAGTATATGTGCTGCTTCTAGGCACCTCCTCCTGAGAGCAACATGTTCCCGTTGTTCTGTTTTATTAAAGTTATTGTTATAAATATAACAAATCATTTTTCAGTGAAAATTTGACACTATTTTTGCAAATTGGCAGATACATAAAAAAAAAAATGTTATTTTAATGAAAACAGTGTTGTGCCATTAAATGCTGGTGTCTACCGGAGTCTATACTGAACCTGGTCTTGCTGGATCTTATTTTATCATCTCAGTGGTACCTGGGGCAAAGAATCCCTTGGAGTTTTTTAAAGGTGCATGACATGGATTGATTGAAACATGTGACTGAAACACATCTAGCATAGTCATGTTAACAAACCTTTTCACTCAGTAGTCTTCTCACTTCAAAAGCCTTTTGATAGTGTAAGCTACAGTGCTCAGTGACATTGTGTGACAGTTTATCACAGACAGTTTTTGAATTGATGAATGATTGATTGAAGTGAAAACAGCTCGTCATTGCTCTGTTGACATGACTTTTTTTTTCAAGTGTTCCACTAAAGAGCACAATGTGTATATAAGGAGCTGTTAATCAGTGAGCTTTCACATCCCATTGAGACTCTTTATTAGTGCTTTGTTAAAGGCAAGTGTGCTGAACACGTCAGCACAGTCAACCCACTCTATGTTTAAAATGCATAGAAATACAATAGCATCAAGTAGACAAACATACAACTGGTTGCTGAAAAACAAAAGTGTGTGTTTGTGTATAAAGGTTTTTTTCCAGTGTTGTGTTGTCTGTGGGGAAGAGGTTTCTACTCTCTCATCAGCACCACCTTTCTGTAATATCTCTTGTCCTTCCTTTAGAGCATTTTACATTCTAATTTCTTTTTCCCACAATGCCTCTCAGCGTACATTTCTGATGATATTTGGTTCACTGAGTCTATATTGAATTGTGTAGTGGCGATCGTACTATAGGGAATTTGAAGTCTTCTCCAAAAATCAGGTCTGCCATGGCAGGCGTTTAACAATTTATTTTAAGCAGATAAAAATGACCTATAAAACATTGTTGCTTGCATGACTGATGTAAAATGACCTCGTACGTATGCAATAACTACAAACATGGTAGGATTTGACAAAATCAGTAATAAAAACAGACATGTACGCATGTAAGATTGAAAAACTGTGTTGCTTCCACAGATCCTAATTCCCCCAAGCTGTTCACCTGTGACTCCCTCATATAGCCCATATAACCACTGTGATTCCCTGCGTATGCCCCCCCTGGTGTGTAGGTGGAGGTCACCATTATACAACTTACCACAAACACAACATATAGCACACATCAAAATTGGCTACAACAAATTGCACTGCAGTTTATGGGGAGAAAACATTCCTCAAACAGAATGTTTCTTGGCAGAAAATATCATTTTGTCAAACTAAATGTTGCCATTTGTTGCTGCTACTCTCTTGCAGGCTGTTTTTTTCTGGAGATCTCTGTTCATATTTAGTAACTTTTTTCCATAATGAAAAAAACACGTTTCTGTCATGCTTGTGGACCTTGCAGTCTGAGATGTAAAAATATTCAAAATCATTTCTGAGCTTCAGTGGATTAGGAGAGAGAGCTCTGTGCTTCTGAATGTACAAACAGTATCACTGTATTTTCCCAGAACATTTTGTACTGGAATATTGTTCCTTGAATCTTAAGATAAGTAGGCAGCTCTGAGTCACAACATAATTTATAGCCTGAATGTAACCCTAATATGATCATAGACTATAAAGAGCAACTTTATAAACCACTTCTGCTTGAACAGGCTCCTTTAAAGGGATGCTTTGCGATTCTAATCAAATACGTTTTTTGTTCAATTAAGCAAATATTTCCTCATGGGTCGCTAGCTCTGTGTTTTTCGTGTGCTCAGAAACAAAACCTTGTTTTCCTTCACTGCCCTGGGTCTGTACATTGAGCACAAACAAAGCTGCTCGGAGTGAGCAGCAGGTGGCAGTAGGGGAGAAATAGACGGAGCGCATGTCTGAACAGAACCCAGGTGAATAGAGAGAAACGGGTCAGCACCTTGTTCAGCAGTAAATGTACAGTAGAAGTTACAGTGGCTGGTGAATAAAGACTGCAGCTTCTCAGGACTAAAGAGGAGCTCCTGTGTGTTGCTGTCAACTGTTGAATAAAGTGAAGGAGGTTAGCCCCAAAGTTAGCTTTGACTTGGACCTGGAGAAAAACAGTCGCTCCTGTGCTCTTATCAGTCACTGTATTTAAAAAAAAAAAACTACTTCAAATAACTCTCTAGTTTTTTACTATTTAAGTTAATCTTGATAATCCTATCGATAAATAAACTAGACTCCGTGTCTTAGATTTAGGCTTAGAAAAGTAATTTACTTCAGTACATTTTTAAATATTGACAGGCTTGTTGTCACACCTTCTACAGTGCTGCTAAAACATGCCCTCTTATTGAGGCTGTGGATTCTGCTATATTTCAGCAGAGTAGGACTGGTTACCATGGCAATGCGTGTTTGGGGGGAGGAGCTTCTGAAAGAGCAGTGAAGGGAGGGGAATGTTTGTTTGGCAGTTGGACTCAAATATCAACAAACTCTCTGCAGAATCGCATAGGATCCATGTAATATATTCCAAATATGCATTTGGACAAAGCCAGCCTGGTTTTGGCTCTAGCTTTGTACTTACTACACAGAAGTGAAATTGGTATTGATCTTCATATTTACTGTATGTCTAAATTTCCAGACTTCCCAGCACTTGCAGACGTGGATTGTATGGACACATACTCATAAAGTCCAAAGTGCAGATGCAAATCAGCAAAAGATTGCATGCACATTTTCTCTGAAATTTTTGTGATTCTCCAGAAAGTCTGCCTCAGCTGCTGTTCACATGGTGATGTAGGGACCATCGCAGGGCTAGTTGGTGGAGTACGGTAGCTACCAGTCTAACTGCTAACATGCTATCCAGCTGGGAGCATGCCAGCACTTTCTTCATTCGTCGTTGCTGTCAATTTTATTTAGTCAGCCCAGTATCACACATTCATCTAAAGGAGCTTTACACCACCCCTTCTGTCCTTAGGGCCTTGTTTTGGATAAGGGAACCCCCCCCCAACAAACTCATTTAACAGGAAAAATGGAGGAAGCCTCAGGAAGAGCAGAGGAGGGATCCCGCTCCCAGGATGAACAGAGAGTCACATTCATTCATTCATAATTAAGTGTCTTGCTCATTGGTGTGTCACAGTGGATTTCAACCCGGGTCTGTCACACCGTAGGTATGTGTCTTATCCACTGCACCATCACCACCCGT